ACCGCTACAGTAGAACTGCTGTTATCGGAATTTGGAAAACTGTGGAGGAAGTTTTTTTTTTGCTGCACTGAGGTCTTCTAAAAATCTTCCAGATATACCTGTGATGGATTAATGCAGGTGAAAATGAATTCAAAACGTGTGTTTGCGTTGCGAGCCATCAGATACAGAGATTCGGCCTGTCCACGTAATCTCGACTTGGCCATTCGAGTCGTTACTCCTCCTACTGCATTGTATCTAAACACAGTCTTTCGATGTTTTGCCGTATCTAAGCACAGTGACTTTGTTTTGTATTTAATTACCAAGATTGTCAAGCCTTCCCCCCAATAGGTGCGGATATTTCATGTTACCCAAGATCTGAGGGAACTACTGGGATTCACTTTCGGATGTTGGACACGGCTGCGTCACCTTACTACATATTTTAGAAAAACAAGACAAAGAAAAGTTCGGTACTTGCTAAGTATGCAGCGTAGTGGAAAATTAGAAATAAGTGAATACCCGACGCTGAGATTTATGCGTGGGATAGCGTGAGCATGCCAAATAATGCGCAGATTTGTTATTCGCAGAATACCGCGGTCACCGTTGTTGCCTTTGGTATCTTCGACCCCATCGATGCGATCCACCAAATGCTCACCGGGAATTAAACACAGCAATCTGAACATTAAGCTCCTTCGAATCAGTAGAAAAGCTGAGATTTTCATAACTTTCGTTGTTCGGCAATTCTCTGTTAAAAAGTGCTACCACTATCTACTTTACGGGAAGCCCCAAATAACCACTAAGGAATCCTCGATATGTTGGAATGCGAGGCGTGCCTATGTCAGACCTTTCTGTTTCAGCCAGCTTACCTAGTATTATCACTAATTTTGAGTACGCGGTACTTCCAAGGGGATCTATCCTGCGTTCATTTCCTATACTACAATACTCGTAGAGTATAAATAATCAGACCTTGGATCGAGATCGAAACGTATGTCACGATCCTGCCAAATTGAATCAGCTGGTGCTTCACGTTTTGAACTCATTGTCTGCCCACTTTACAGATGCAAATCTAGAATGGATGAGTTTCAACAGAGCACTTCCAAAGCGAATATTTTTCTCCTCACTATGCGGTAAATTAAAACTGAGGTTCTGGTAATTTAACAAAACAACACATCAAGCTTCAAACACAACTGCGGTATTTCCTAAATTTGATACTTCCCGCACTGCTATTCATTCTTTGATCAAAATAATAACTATTTTTAACAACCTCTCTTCTGTTTTAGGGCTATAAATTTTCAGAAAAGATTAACTCATTTCGGTCCATTTTAAGACTTATCTTTAAATTTTAATTTGTGCCAGATTCTACGACTTAAATAAAATTTTTTGCTATTTGTTGTCTAATTTTGACTCTCTCACTAAATGACACATGAACCCCTTGAATTTGGCCAATCCATAATTAGCAGTCGAAGAGATCTTGACAATCGCTCGTGTAAAGTAGATCTTGACAATCACTGGACGCAAAAATGTCGCTCCTCTTCTTATACGATGTTGCTTGCAGTGCACTAGCTGATGATAATCGAAAAGTATGGTTTCGGAACAGTTGGGATGCTCTTGTTTCAAAATCAACAAAATTCCAGCAGTACAACTCAAACTGTACGCAGCATATGTTTTAAGTGAAAAGAAATAGTCTGCATAAAGCCCTTTAGGACTAATTTTCGGACAAATTTCGAACTATTGTTTTCTTTCGGAATAATTTTTCCAAGACTAATTTTCAACTTCCCTTTGTCCTGAATTTACAACCTCTAGCCCAAACAGAGTCAGAGATCATAACTCCAGAAGCTAAGAAATGGAAATTTTGGTGCTTTTCATGAGATGAACGGGAGGAAAGTGGCATGACGGAGCAAAAACAACTCTCGCGTTGCCCATATTTGCGCACTACGAATAAACGCGTAGACCTGCCAGTCCTTCTTTTCGAAAAACTGTATTTGTTGACAGTTAAGTTGTATGTATCTAAGGTGCATTATGAGTGAGTGAATAACAACACACTCTTCCATTTCCCGCTGCCCTGTAGAAGCAGAAGCCCCGTAGAAAGGATGTACAAAGTAACAAGAGGACGAGGACGCGAAATGACAAAAAAGTAAGCTTGTTTCCAAAGTGTTCCAACTCTTCGGAAGTATTGAATGCGGCCGTGTATGCATAGAAGTCACCATGACAACGCTACTTGTTGAGCCTTTTAAGTTACATTATTATCAACGCTCCAAGATTTAGCACACTTATTGGGTGTTTTTGAAATAAATAGCATCCTAGCAAATGCAAATAGCAAATGAAAAGCCTTCCTTTTCTCAAAACGGCCTTTCAGAAGCCTTCGCCCAACATCAGTAGCAAGAACGCCGAGCTCAACTCAAGCTAGCAAAAAGCGAAATTTCCCCAGCGATTCGATTTATGCCACTCAGATCAGTGACAGTCACCTGATTAACTTAGAGAGCATGGAGGAAACCCAGCTTCGAGAGCTTTGATGTATTTGAGATAAAAGAGCCTAATTCTGGAAATGCTGCGAGTTTTCCCGCTCAAAAATCCAGATGACTGATCAGTGCCATTGAAGCACCCTGTTTCGAATTTTCAGCGGCTAAAATGTGCCCAGCTCAACTAAATGATGGAAATGTTAGGTACAGCAAAAATCGCATTGGTCCAACTTTTTTATAGAATCCACGATATGTGATTAGAAGAAGCCACAAAACAAAATACTCCGCAAAGAAATGGAAAGTGAAATAGCTACCAAAATCGATCACAAACAGAATCACAGAACACAACATGTTGTAAGGCAAAAATGAGATGCTTATCCAGGCTT